GTGTAACTGTGGAGACGTCGTCCTTTTGTTGAAATGTGTATAATACAAAATGTGTGTTTCACACCAGGAAATTGGTCGAATCCTCCTTGTTGTGTTGCGTGTGGAGGTTTGGATGTAATTTTTTGAAAGAGAGATTCAGTGGCAGTTGAAACTCGGACTCGTGTCGAGTTGATGGATGACAATTTTAACGACTTGCCCAAGTTCTACTGAGGGTTTTTCGGAACTGAATCAAGACAGTGTATCCCTGAATGGTGTTGAATGAAAAGGAGAAGAAAGGCGAAAGTTCTAATGTGAAAGAGAGAGCCAGGTCTACCAGGTTCTAATTGGCACACCAATGAAGAAATTGAAAAAGGGACAGACCTGAATCAGATCAGAATGAAATTTCATCCATGCTGTACAGCAAGCAACTCCAGTCAGTGAGTTTAGAAGTTGAAATTGGCTTGGACAAACCAAATAAATTTTGGCGCCAACGAAAATTGATTTGAAAAGCCACACAAAAAAATATTATTCATCATGGCATCCTCTTCATCTTCAAAATTCTCGTTTTCATGGGCCGATAAAATCATCTTTGTGTGGCTTTTCATTGATCTGATTGTACACGGAGTGTTAGAGAGCTCGTTTGTCTATTTTTCTCTAACCACTACGGTAGCAAAGGCTCAACCACAATCCACTCTCGGAAAGATGTTGCATTGGGTTTGGCTTGAATATGGAAAGAATGCCGATGCGAAATGGTTAGTGTTGGATCCATGTGTGGTCTCTGTAGAATTATTGACTTGTACAGTGGATACATTGTTGTGTGCCATTGTCATGTACACGGTAAGTGTGTGGTGTATCAAGGCGCAACATTGAAATTGAGACCGACTTGAATATGGAATGATATTTATTGAAATTGGTGATTGAATAATGACTATGATAATATTTTCATTTGGAATTTATGGACATTTTCATGGAAATTTCACACATTTCAAATTGTGCATGATGACGACTTTTTCTGTGAACAATGGTCAAAACTACTCTCTCAATAGATGTGGACCAACAAACCATCGAGACATTTTTGGCAAATTGTATTATGTGTTTGTGAACTCTATGGTGACTGGATGACATTTGTACCTGCAATTTTAGGTACGTTTTTGTGAATATTTTTCATTATTCATCATGAAATCACTTTATAAATCCAATGACTGCCACACATGCCACTATACACTCATTATTTCACAAATATTGTACAGAGGGTGGACATAATTTGAACATGGATCCATATTTCTTCTGGCTCTACACCGTTGGAAGTAATGGCGTCTGGGTCATTATGCCACTATTATTGTTGTATCAATCGTATGGACATTTGGTGAGTGCTTTTAAGGCCAAACAGAAGGTGGAATAAATTGGGCAATATATTCGTTCAGCTTTAATGTTATTGTTGATTCGAATGCCCCCAAGGAAACGATCTACCAACCCAATCATGCTCTCTTTACAATTTCTAACAGTACAGTTGTTGGCTCAACTTTCCGTATACTTTTATATTCGAATGTGAGTCTGCAAAATTCAATATTCACATCAACCAATTTGGAAATTGGTTCTTCTAATTTGGCAGAAATTAGTGGGTGTGTATTTACTGGAAAATCCTCACTATCATCAGGAAGTGTGTTCTCTCTTGTAATTTATTCTTCAACCTTTATGGATATAATGGATTCGCAAAAGACAGCGAGTATTGTTCGAGTCTACCATGTATTTGGAGTCCTTGAGTTTTGTCAATAATTCTGCAATGAATGGTGGAGCTCTCTATCTAAGTCGTTGGGTTTATAATGACAAAATTACGAGTTATTATTCTTTTTATAACGTTCAAGACTTAACATTTCAGAATAATACAGCTCAATTGAGAGGAGGAGCCATGTTTTTTGTCTTGGATCCTTTAACACATCACTACACGATGCGCTTCACTAAAACAAGCTGTACTTCTAACTTGGCGAGATACAGTGGTGGATGCATGTATTCTTCAATCTTGTTGTATTTATATGAACTCAATGGATTGGAAGATTCCGATAATAACGCCCTTTCCTATGGAAATTTCATTGGTTATCCCTTAAGAAATTTTACATTTCATTCAACGCTCCAATTTTCTAGTTCAAGAAGAATCACCATTGAAGGTGTCTCTACAATTCCAGATATTGCCATATATCCAGGAGAGAAATTACAAAACCTTTCACTGATTATTCAAAATTTCGATGGAGAATTTGTGAAATTTCTAGTAGCACCTTTATCGATCAAATATTCCTCTACATTCATCAAAATGGATTACTTGCTGACAACAACAACATCCTCCTCCTCCAACTATAATCTACAGATTAATAACTTGTCAGTGAGACTATTGTCACCAACCACATCTCAAAATGTTTCTATTACTGCATTTCTAGTGATTGATGCTTCTAATGAAATACCTTTTAATATCATCACATTACCATGTCCTGAAAGGTACCATCTTGAAAGTAGATATTCTGTGGACGGATTTATTTGCGTTGAAGATTCACATGTACCATTTGAAATTATTATCCCAGTAGTGTAGATTGCAACGATCATTATCGTTGGATTGGTTGCAGGTGTGTTATTTGCCACAATATATACATGTAGAAGAGTGGTTCAGAAATTGAAGACACTTGAAAAGAAACAAAGGTAGGGTGTTTTTGTTGTTTAACCATATCATTACATTTTCTTACACTCCTGACGATGATTTTACTAATATTTCAAATGAATGTAGAGCTGAAAAGCAATTAGAATCCAACTTTATAGGAATGAAAACATATATCGAGGGAGGTTATTCTTTGTTGCAGCACGATTTTCTTGATCGATCTAGTGAAAATAGTACCTATTTAATTCCAGTTGAGGATTTATCAATTATTAAGAAAATTGGAGAGGGTATGTACATATTTCAACTTGTTCAATGAACTCTAACGATTGTTTTATAAAATTATCATTTCAATGTTTTGTTATTTCCTTTCGAAATAGGTGGTAATGGATCCGTTTATCATGCCAAATGGAATGGCAGTGAAGTTGCTGTCAAATCTATCAAATCGGACGTATCTAATGAAGAATCTGAAGAATTTCAAAAAGAAGCAGCTCTTCTGAGTACTCTACGTCATCCAAATATTGTCAATTTTTATGGAGTTAGTATCATTAATTCCACAAAATGTATGGTCGTTGAATATTTACCTCGTGGAAGTTTAGATCGAATGATTTATAATTGTAGAAGCGGACAATGTGTTTTAAAACTTTTTCAAAAATTAGACATCTTGTTAGGAGTTGCAAAAGGAATGGCTTACATGCATTCATTGAAACCAAATCCAGTTCTTCATAGAGATTTAAAACCTGCCAATATACTTTTAGATCATTCATTGACTAGTAAGGTCTGTGATTTTGGATTGTCGACCATTATGGGTAATACCAATACTGCAACCACAAATATTGGAACATTTTTCTACATGGCCAATGTAAGTTGTGTGTTTTTTTACTTTTTAACATTTTGCTGACATTTCAAAATTTCAAAATTTCTCCCTATTTAGGAAATGATCGAAGGTGATGTCAAGTACAATCACAAGGTAGATGTTTATAGTTTTGCAATTATCATGTGAGAATTGTTTTTTGAGGAGACTCCTTAAAAGAGTCAACATTCGAAAAAGTTTCAAAAATTCAAAAGTCATTCCACAACGAGCACAGATTCCAATGAGGGTGGAGCTCGAGTGTTAATGCAAGTTCTGAAAGGAAACAGACCACTCATTCCATTTTCAATCGATAACAATGAAGAACTTGTATTATGGTTGAATGAATTTCTAGTTCCACAAAATCGAGAAATTGACATTCAAACACTTGTGAAAATTCTATCGACTTATATTGATTTGATGAAACAATGTTGGCAAAGTAATCCTGAGCTTAGACCAAACTTTTTACAAATTGTTGAAGTGTTGTAATCATTGTTGATGTGAGGATGATGATATTCTCCTTCTTGTGGATGCTTCTTCTTCTACTTGCAAGTAGTCAAGGGATGTTACAGAACTCTTGAGAACCACATAAAAAAACTTTTAAAGAAAAAAATGGCCAAAACACCTCCATCTCCTTACTTGGTGCTTGGACTCGTTTTATTCATTGCTTCACTCTGTCTCACAATTCCATCGGAATCTCATGATCATTGCAGTCATGTATTTTTGAGTAATGAAAGAGTACTCACAGTCCTATATTCTCTCTTCATCATTCCTGTTACGATTGCAATTCTTTTTCTAACCGTCGTCTTTGCGATGGGTTTTAGACGGAATGATTTCAGCTGCAGTGATTTGGAGACAACATATACGAACTACATGATATTGTATCTTGGTATTGGTTTTTATTTTGCAATGGGAGTTTTTTGGAAAATGTGGATTGAACGACTCTCATCACCACTCTATACAGAGGAATATTTAAAAGAAAATATTTTAACAGAAAAACAATGTCATGATCACACAACAAGAGTGAGCATCTTGAAGAAAATGTTAATGGCTATTGGAAGTGTCTTGATATTGGTCTTTGGATTCTTTGTGGCATATGAGGTTTATTTTAAAATTCAAAGGAATAGAAATATTACAACAAGTCATGCCAACTCAATGAGTGTTTAAATTACTAACAATTTTAATATTGTTGCTATAATATTGGAAAGGTTGCAATTTCTTTCAAGAATTAGCAAAGATCCTTAAAAGGTAGAAAGTTGTGTCGTTCAACGAGGTTTTCAAGAACCAGAATGGATCCTAATGAAAGAACAAATATTATGGATAATGGAAGTGGTTTTTTCCTTACATTCTTTGAACAACCTTGCTAACATTACAGTCAAGGGAGGATCCTCATCGTAACTTGACGGCATTAATGTTTCTTTTATTCTCGCTTATTCTTCGAGAGATGCTGTAGAAATAAACAAACAACAGTGGTGAAATCCTGTCTCAGGCACAAAATTCGACAAAGCAACACCACTTGATCCAGAAAAAAGTCTCTTACGACCCTTGAACGTTGTGGTGTGGGTTTGCCTTCTTATAAAAAAGGCTACAGCACTGCAGGTTCCCAAGTTGTCTCCAACCTCAGTACTGATGCAGCTCGACGATGCTTAACTTCTCAAATCGGACGGGATGAGGTGCATTCATCGTGATATGGCCGTAGCCGTTCATTTACTAAAATTTGTTATTTTAATACAGTTCCATTAAATCAATATGTTGTGTTTTTGCATGGGAGGTGGTAAAAGTTTATTCTTTCAGAATATTAAAATTCCAGCTCTGATTTTTCTTGTTCTTGATAATTGGACTTGCATTACGTTCCACTCACAACCTTGACAGGGTTAATTTCAAATTTATATAATCCGGATATTAATTTTGTTTGAACACAACAACAGAAGGTCATCCACATAAACACACCCATTCAGACAAACTTGGTTTTTATTGTCTTACAATCCATCGACGCTTACAAAACACCCTTATACTTCATGTCGCTTCCCTTAATGTGATCCACCAACCATTGTTTGATGAAATTCATCACTCCATCATCGACAGAGGTCAAAGAGACTGCAGTCTTGACAAAGTTATCATGAATTTCCTTGTGAGCATCCTTTTGATCCCAAGCAACTTTTTCAAATCCATCTTCTTCAGTCTTAAAGTGCATCACAACAAAATCGAGCAATTCCTTCAAAACAGCTCCATTAGTTCTGTCGGCATCCAAAGCATTGATCAATTCAAAGATCTTCTTGTGTTGATCATTAATGACTTGATGACCAACGCAGAAGGATTCGTCCCATTGGAATGGAGATGGAATTTCGAAAGACATGATGATGGAGCGTGGTGGATGATGATTGTTTTTTTGTTGAGTTTTGCTGACCCGGTGAGCGAATAAGGTACCCTTAAATTCTTTTTTTGACCCTGTCCTGAAAATTGCTATTTAAGGCAAAAAACATTGTGTGACGTCATTGATGGATCCAATCATTTTCTTTCGTTTACGATGTTTCTCCATTGTTACAATGTGAGGTTTCAGCAAATGAAATTTGTACTTTTAAGGTGTATGACCAAAGATCCAATTCTTGTGATGGAAAGAGTCAACTATGCGCGATTGCCTTACAATCTTGATCAGCCATTGTGAATTGCAAGGACAATACACTAGATGATGTTTTCGCAGTAAAAAAATTGAAGCAGCCAATACATTCAGTGAAAAGCCTGCAATGATGAAATAGGTGCAACCTGAGCTGGAAAGACGGAATGGCTGGAGAATCATTAAGCCAAATTCATTCTTCTTTTCAGCGAATTCATCTTCTCAAATTTCATGACACTCTTTCTCTTGATCCTTTGTGCACTTTCGGAATTAGGGATCCATCATGTCAATATTGAGTTACAAGGATCAAGCTACACTCCATTTTCATCATCATGATTTTCGAAACATAAAAAAAATGTTATCACCACTCGAACAATTACCACATGAAATACTCACCAACATCTTCTCCTTCCTCCTACCAGGACCACTTGATCACGATGTGGATATTAATATTTACAACATAATGGCGAGTGATATTTTGCCATTAAACCATACATGTTCAACATTTAGGAATGTCATTCGGAATAATGAAGAACTTTGGAAATATTGCTTCTTTGATCTACTTTACGGATGGATGGAGTGTAGAAATTACTTTTCAAAAGATATTTCTGTCTTGATGAGAGAAGGAAATGGGCATGAAATGAAAAATTCTAAAATTCTGGAACGCCAATGTTTCATTTATGAAATTGGCTATCACACCTTGATGAAGTTTATACGGCAGATAGCAGGTGAACCCTCAAAGATCATTCAACGCATGACCCTTCAGCATCCACCAACATGTTTACATCAAATTTCTCAATTAGAGAGAAATTTAAAAGTCGATGACAGTAGTACCAACATAGCTGACTTGATTCAACAACAGCTATCAACCAGTACGTTAGTCGAATGGGTGGACCTTGTATTTACTGATTTGGCAAATATTAGACAATTGGTATTTATGAGCTCACCTATTGCCAACGATCGTCAAGTGATAACTCCTTCAAACGCCAATACTTTATCAAAACTAGAAAATCTTTCTATCTATATGGAAGATTGTACCACAATGTTGCCAATTCTAGTGTGCCATGATCGGTGTATTCTTAAGAAATTAAGTCTTTCTGTCAACGAAAATCTCAAAGACGCACTTCAAAAAATTTCCAATTTTGCCTCTCGCTCAGAATTGTTCAGAACTGGATTAACAGAATTCGAGGTGACCAATGTTATGCCTTTGGATCAACTTTTACAATATCGCTCTTGGAACAAATCATTAGTGAATTTTTGTTTTTTTTCAGAGATGCATGAAATACCATTGCTGAATCAATTTGATAATATTCAATATTTATCATGTATGACCTCAGGTCAACGAGATATTTGCTTGGATTCGAACCTCCATTTACCAAATCTAACAGTTTTAAACTTATCTGGAGACATTAATCATCTAACAATTCGTGACCTCAATACTCCAAAATTAGAATCCTTAACTCTTTGCTGCAACAGCTGTACATTCTCTGAAGATCAATACTTTCCATCATTAATTTCACTTTCATGTTTCAAAATGAATTATAACCAAACGATTGAGAGGTTTATTTTCAAGCACAAAACACAGCTCCAAACCCTTGATTTACAAGACAATGACATGGATTCATTAGCACCAATTGTTATTAATGAGGATTTTTCTTCTGTGAAACAAATTTCATTGCGCAATATTAAGAAGGCCCGTATTGAAACAAAAGATACACTCACTCAACTCACACTCGACCAATGTGAGCACATTCAAATACATGTGAAGCGTATTGATCTGTTTGAACTTTTATCATCAACCAAAGAAGTGATTTTTATGGGAGACACGATCATAGAGAAATTGTGTTCGTTTGTGAATTTTTCAGAATTGCTATCAATACGCCATGAAGGACCTGGTACAAAGATACGAGTGAAAGAAATGAAGGTACAATTGAGTCAACCTATTGAGGCCTCCCATATTCAGCATTTTTCTGCTAATTTCTTCAACATTGAGACCATTAAGGGATATTTTCAAGTGAGTGATATTACGGGTCGATTTTCATTATCTCTTGACAATAATTTTGACAAGTTGAATGAATTGAATAATATCACGATGTGGGAACAATTGGGAGGAATTCTTTCGAGTGATTACATGCACTCTCTTGAGATTATTCAAACTCCACCTTCAATGTGCCACGTGAAAAATTGCAAGTCTTTGGAAAACATTATGGTTCTCACTAATCTGAATGTGCTCATTGATTGGGAAAATATTAATATGGAACATCACCATGAGATGACTGTTTCGTGTGACATGTATGCATTTCCATCATTAATCGAAGCATCGCTCATTCACACAAGCAACATCGTTTTTGAGAGAATTGTAAATCTCACCTTGTCTCGAGGTTGTTTTTGCATTGATATTCATGCATTTCCCAATTTACGAACTTTTAACTTGGAAAATTGTACCCAGAATTTTGGTAACATTCTCATCATGAGTGAAGACAAGATTCACAAAACAATCAAATTCATTTATGTACACAATGTTCATTTCCAAAAGCTTCAAATGAAAATCAATGCTCCCAATTTGCGACAGTGTGTCATTTTGGATGTTCAAGTGGAGTCTACGAATCAAAGAAATTGGAATGACCCTCGCTCACACGTAAAACTCGTTCACACGCCACGTTTGTTATTTAAAATTTTAGAACTTTAAAACCTTACGATTGACACGTTTAAAGATTGGAATCTGAAGGATACTAATGTTGATATCTTTGCAAAATTAAAACGAGACATGGTGGTTTGACTCGAGCCAAATTTTGGCTCCAGCGAATTTGTTGGTGTGTTTTAATAATTTCATCACATGATTTTTGAGCGCTATTGTTCGTTGTAAATTCATTCC